GTATTACTAGCTAATTTAACTTTAAATAGCATTGCCGATCAAGGTAGGTGGTGAGTTGGCATGCGCACCACATGTCCAAGTAACATAAGTCGAAGGTTCACAACCTTACCGACGAAATTTCCTTCCTTCGCCTAACCTCGACGTCACTAAAATGATGATTCCACCATACTTGATCGATGCTGTGACAATACCTGAGTTCGAACATACATTTTGTCTTTGCATCTACTTTAACGCCCATATCTCAGTTGCATATCAGGAGAGAACTGACTCCAGGACAGTATACTCATCCTTTAACAGGCAGTCGGATATCTCGCCTGTTGAGGCCATAAGTGACCTAAGTTGAAAAGTACCAAACCAGCCTTCTGTATCCGAGCTAAGATTTAGTCAGCAACTAGGTCGTTTGGGCTGACACAACTTCAAGTAGGTGAAATGGTTGACACCTTCCACCGCTTCACTGCTTATGATCAAACAGAGTGGTTGGAAACCAGTCGTCGAGCGTCGTCTAACAAGTGTGTGACGCATGCCAGACATGCTTAGGTTTCTGCTCAACGTGTTCAGAAGACCCTTTATTTTGTCAGCGTCTTCACCTAGCAGGACAATATCGTCTGCATACTCCAAGTTAACCAGAGGACCTCCAGGGAGTTGGTCAGTCCCTGTGAAGTCAGAGGTACCTAATGTAGCGTCCACCAGTGAGTCTATAACGAAGTTAAATAAATACTGTGACGGTAGGCATCCGTGGCAGATACAACTATGTGTAGTCAATCCAAATCACTCTCCATAAGCCCTGACACGGCTGTGAGCTTTCGGTACTCCCTTCACACTCAGATGCTGGCACAACATCTCTTGGTCGGAGTCGAATGTCGCCTTCCAGTCGAGAAATGTGGTCAGTATCGACCACAGGTAAGAATGTATTCTAGAGCCTGTCAAAGGGTTAAGGCCGGATTGATACAGTCTCGTCCAGGTCTATCTGAAAACTTCCTCGTTTTTTCGAGTTTGCTGTTCATGAGCTCCAGTTAGACGTCGGATAATTATGGAGACTAGGATCTTGGAAATAACATTATTCAAGATAATTCCCCTATGGTTGTCACAAAATTTCTCTCCCTTATAAAATGGGATGACTAGAGAAGTAGACCACTCTGATAACGCTACTTCTCCCAAACACTACGCAGAACCTCTGTCAATCTCGTCAGCGATTTTTTACCTCCATCCTTGAAAACGTCAGGACCTGGTGCTTTGCATCGTATCAGACTCGAAACAGCTTTCTCAACTTCAAAGAAAGTTGAAGGACTGATATCTACGTCCCATCCCAGTTCAAGTTGGATGTAGGGCAACTGAAGCTTTGTTGAGGGCCAGTTGAACTGTACTCCAAAGCGTTCTGCCCGACGCTTTAGCCAGCTGTCCTGAGAGGTTATCAGTGTTCCATCCTTTTCGTTGATGGTTTAACCCACCATCATCTTGGTGGTATGCTTAAAAGCCTAAATAGTTGCCGAGTATTATCCACCTCTGATGCCTTCTCCATCTCTTTTTTGTCACTCACGAACGACACGAAGACTCTTGGTCAACTTACGTTTAAGTTGCCTTCGCTCTTCATCGTGGTCAGAGCCAGATGGAATCAGTCTTCTCGCATTAGTCAGTTCGGATGACATAACCTTCGAGTGTAGGTTACCAACTTTTAATTACTGTTTCTACAGCAGATTTAATATCACCCCATGTGTCTTTAGAATGTGCACTGCTATCATGTTAAAATAAATGCTTAGTTATCTCTACCCTAAATGCGTGCTTAACGTTCCTAACTTCCAACAGGCTTCAGAATGATCAGCAATCCTGCTCTGATCCTCTAGAAAAATGGCTTATTTCACCAGCCAATGGCTTCTAAAAGTATGTCTCACATAGTGTGAACTTATAGGGGTACCTTTCGTTTTTCAGAAAATGCCTCAATCGATGTGGAGTCCGGGTTGGTAATGACGCTGGCACTTTGATCAGTGATTTGAGACTTAATGTGCGTTTCTCACAACCTGCATTCAAATTTCTGCTTCAGGATTGTTGATATGTCGTCAAACAAGGAGAACGGAAGTGGCTTAGCGTTCTAACCATTTTACTCGGAAAGTCATACAGTCCCGAATAGGTTAGTCCGGAAATAATCTCGGCCCTGATACAAAAGGATTAATCCACCTTCGCCAACTTGCATCACCTTCCAAACAAGCGAGATATCTGATTACCCAATAGGGATCGAGTCTACTGCACTGCACTGCACCTCCAGACGTCCTAACCTATCCTCATAAAACATCACCACTTAAAGTAGACGATGTGAGAACACTCCAGGTATCCAACCAACATTGCCTCCTTCACGTCAGTAGTAGTATGCCATACAGCCACAACGTACGTCAGTAATGTAGAGGTGAGGTGAGAATTGTGTCAGTTGATGAGTTTGTCAAACTTCATCTACTGAGGTAGTTACATGTTTTAAGCATGCCTAGTCACTATCTACCGTGACGTGCGATCTCATTTGGGGTAGATAGTTTGTTAGACGGGAGAAGGGTTAAACGTAGTTAGACTTTAATGCAACATCAGTTTATAAAGTCTGATAGTTGGTCTGAGAAATGTAAGGCAGTATCAACTTCTAAATTTGAGGATGGTGTGAAAATCGAAATTGATGAATGATGATTCTCGCTGACATGACACACTGAGTCATAGTGGCTTGAATGCATTCGCTTGGTATTACGACTCTAAACGCGATATAACTTCCTTTTCCATTCTACCTTCGTTTCTTTTATGACTTTCAATGAATTTCCGTTTTTTATATCTTTGATCTTGATACATTGTCTCTTGATAAGCTGTGTCAAGTTTGGCCGTTTTTACCTTTTCGTAGTAATATCAAGTCCTATGTTTATACTGATGACTACAGTTGGCTTTTATGCAGTAGGTTAGTAATTCTTATCCCGTTCTATTTATTACGATTCAGATGGAAAGGTGATATCATTGCACACTATAAACACAACTCATAGCTGAGTGCTTACAGCTGCACATGATTCGCACTGCTTAAGCCTCTTAAGGACACTGAGAGGAAATCGAAAGAAAGGAAGCCAGTTCAGCAGCAATGACAACAGAATTCTCGCGGGAAATAGATGTAAATCAACAGCCTCATATAGACTTGTGTGTTAGACTGGACGACCTGGTGTATGGGTGGTGGATCCTTGAGTCTTTATGGTTAAAACGAGATTCTGACTCCAACTGGCTTAAAAACGATTTCTCATACCAGTTGGCCATAGTATAAATAATAATTTTCTAGATTGATAAGCATTGATGAGCACTATACAGTAATGTATTTTTGAGATGAATAGGGACTTTAATTTAGAGGTAGTATTTATCACGGACTGGCATCAGTTGGGGAAGCATTGAAAACCTGGGAACACTGAACAGCTGTTTCGTCCTAGTATGGGACTCCTCACTAATACGCACCCACGACCTGGCTAGGGATCGAACTCAAGACCTTCAGGTTTTACGGAGAATGCCTTAACCATTCAGTCATTGTGTCCGTTTTCAGCGGTTTGATGTATGGTGCTCATTAGTGAAAAGCTTACAGACGGATATCACGAAGTTCTAATGAGAAGCTGTGACCTGTGGGGTCAAGCAGTTGGAAGGGAAGCCCATACGAACTGAAGTCCCTGGGTAATAGTCGCGCTATATCGTGAATTGACAGAAGTTAGAAACTGTGAACCACTGAAACCGACACAATGACTGAATGGTTAACGCGTTCTCCGTAAAACCTGAAGGTCCTGATTTCGATCCCTAGCCGAGCCGTGCTGTGTACTGCTGAGGAGTCCCCATACTGGGACGAAACAGCTGTTCAGCGTTCCCAGGTTTTCAGCGCTACGTTAATTGATGCCAGTCCGTGATGAATACTACCTCTAAATTAAAGTCCTCATTTATTTCAAAAATACATTATTATAAGCACTGAATTTATTTGCGCAACTTGGACTATTAATTCGTGGATGGAAACTCTGACTTCAACTGTCTCGCAAACTTCAGTTAAGGAGAGTACTATTTCTCATACACTCCAGATCAACTGTTAGTAACCATGTATCATGTTTTGGCTTGATTTCTCTGAAGCCTCTTCCATCTTATTTTTCCTTGTTTATTATCTTAATGTCTCCTATCTTTATATGTTGATGTAAGGGGTTGGCAACTTAAATGTTAGTAGTGAACATCTGGCTGAGAGATAACCCATTTCAGTTATAGCGTTACCTTCAGTGGTCAAGTTTCAGTGTTACCCTAGGAATAAGCAAAATTTTCGGTTTTCATGTTACGTAGAAAGTTATTGGCATTATGAATGAAAAACTTTATTACCCGAACTAAAGTAAGATCTATCGGTTTGTTTTCGTTGCTTTTTGTATCTAGTGTTGTAGTATTAGGTTTTCGCACCATTGTTGTTGAAGAGAATATAGTAATTGTGTCCATTGCATTTTACGTTTCTCGTAGTCAGCTCGTTTTATTTAAAAAGGAACCTTGATATTCTGGATAGTCTTTCGTCGTTAACATCGAAAATAGTCTCTTGAATTACAGCGGTCAATAACTATGTTGTGTAGGACCACCACGAAGGTGCAAACGTCTCTGAAATAATCGTAGTGTAATTTTCTCATAGGTTTTACATGATTTTGAATACTTCATGTTGAGCATTGGTGTTGCATTTCAAATTCTACTTGTAAGTGACTGCTGCTCGATATGCGTAATCACGATTCAGAAACTTGCACGTGACCGTCGTCGTGCAACAAGCAATGCTTGTTTCTTTATTTACAGTGTCGAATAAGCGTAATATTTGTTTACCTTATTTTCTAACTGAATGTTGAAGTATTGTTTACTGAATACGCCATTTAAACATATTTGTTTATTGATTCTCGAAAAGTAATCCCTAAGTATTTATGTTGAGGCGTTTACCAAAAAAATATAATCCAAATGTCAGTTATATAACAACCTCATTATTATGTTTTGAATCCATTTAGGCATTTTCAAACAATGTCATCGAATTTGCCAACACCTTCCAGTTCACCAACTAATATCCCTCTGGATGCTACGGGTAAACCACTGAAACCGTGCTGTGCTTGCCCAGATACACGTCTTAAGCGTGACCAGTGCATTTTAATGTATGGAGAAGAGATGTGCGCAGATTTGATCGAAGAACACAAGGAGTGTTTGCGAAAACTCGGTTTTGCCGTATAATGTGCTTATGTACCTAAGATTTGTTGAAATATAGTTATTTTACAGCTTCTTCATCCTGACCGTTGACTAAAGTTCATTGTTACTAACTCATTGTTTCTTTTCAGGAGTCTATTGACCGAAAGCCCATTGCCCGTTTTCGTGTTACGGGCTCAATGCTCCCTAACTTAGTCGGACGTGATGTATGCGTAGTAGGGACCGCTTTACGTGTCGCCCCTTCAGGACAAAGGATACATATGCGTTGTGTAGATGGACGGGAGATTGATTGCAACCTTATCTCCCCGCTTCAGGTAATTTGAATCATTCGAAAATCGTGTTTAGTTGGTGAAGGTGGTGATTAATGATATTCTGTCCCATTATTCTTTTGTTTAACTCAGGCTACTTATATTTAATATGTTTCGTTGCACCTCTGTCGAGTTTAAGGCGTTGATGAGATCTTTAGCCATTACAACCGTGAGTTAAGTATACTATTTGACAGAAGTTATAATCAGTTGGTGCTGTTGTACAGCTAAAAAAGTCAGGTATCCTTTTAGAGTGTTTTACTTTATTCCAACTTGAGTTTGCGCCATGAAGTCTGGGAATTGTGTACGTATGTATTTCATTGTCCTGGTTACTAATTATTTGTGGTGAGTTTGTATTTCCAGGAAGTGTTGTGCTCCTTAGCACTAGGTTATTCTTTTTCAATCATTGCGTAACTTATTCGTTTTGGCTGCAGTATTAAAAATAATTTAACTGTCAATGTATTGGGAATTTAAACATTGTTATATCAGCCGATCCCAGTGACACAACAAGTGCAATGGTCTAAGTCAACCCCTTACAGGACTGATCACGCATCAGTTAATTTAGCAACGCCATGCTTGATGGTCAAAGCGTACGAGTAAGATAAAAAGAGTAGCTGTATCTTACTTTATTTGGGAACTGTTCCAGTTGATTCGAGCAGCTAGGCACAAGTAAGCCTGGTATCAGTGACACGGTAAATGGTATACTGAACAGCAACTTTTGTAAACTGCTGAAACATTTCTAGAAGCAATTTAAGTGGCTTACTGTTTCAGCGACTTTTCTAGTGAAATGTAGGTTGAAAAAGGAATAAGTTGCTGAAAGGCACCTCCCACAGACTCTACGCCTGATAATTTTTAAGGATGGAGAGGAAATCAGTAGCGGAGCTGGATATATTGCTTGGGGTATGGCTGGTGGGGTGTTCTATCACTCTGGAATAAGACTATGGTTGTATTCAACTTTAGAAATAGTCTTCGTGACTTTTGTGAAAATCATAAGGCTACCAGCAATGTCTAAATATTGCCTGCTGTTATACTTTGCAGGTTTTCTAAAACGCACGAAGAACTGGTCCACGAGGGCAGATGGGATTTTGTTCATATCGTGGATATATTAGTCACGTGTTCACGCCTCACCGATCGCTTGAGCACCGTCAGATATATTGAACATCAACAAATGTTGTTTCTTGACATCAGATCCACCTTCGATTTGTCGGACAGGATTTAACTCCTCAATTGTGTTAGAGAGGGCTGTCCATAAGAACTTTTTGGGATCCTGAAGTCTCTATGCAAAAGCATGTTAGATAGAACAAAGGAATGCTGCCACTTCTTTCTGTTGTCCTGACTCAGCGGTATGGTTAGGAAGGTTATTCAGCTTCGTTATTCTTCATCAACCTTGCAGTTGATAACATCCTCTTAGCACCTTGGGAGTAGTTATGGCATAGGGGTGACCATTGTGACCGGTTTTCAGCCATTTCACCAAGAGTGCTAAACAACTAATTCTTCTCGTCTCGGAGACCTCATACAGCTTAAGTCAACAGTAAGAGACTTCATCGACGGGTGCTAGATCTTGGTCTGGTCACCATGATCCCTCTTCCAACCTAATTCAAGTTTCTCTGGCATGGCACGTCGATGTAGGTGTCGACTTGGCATACGCAGTGCGTATCCAGGCCATCTTAGTCGACTTAGATCCACAGCTTGATTAATCGACTTGACTTTCTTGCCTAATACCCTTCACCTGACCTCAACATTGCCCACATGGTGACTTCACCGAACGTGAGCAATGTTACGAAGATACCCGTAACTGCTTCATGTCTTCTACTTTTCACGGTCATGTCTCAGCTGTATAACAGGAAAGAACAGACTGAAACGCAGTATACTCGTTTTTTGTTATATGATCGGATGATCGATGTTTATTGGACGTTATATAACGATCAACAAAATTTAATATCCCGCCACGTACAGGTGAGTTGCATAAATAGTAATCTATGGGGTTACTAGAAATTTAAATGACCTTAAATGATAACATTCATGTTTCTTTCAAGTGACATCATTTTATCCGTCATAGCTTATTTAGTTTAATTTTCCTAAAAAGCATGGAATTCTACCTCTTGTGGCTACTTTCTTAATTTCCTAATGGATTCAACTACTTCCTTTTATAACCAAATAATTGACTTATACGATACAAATAGAAAACTGCTTACAATATCCTTCTGTTGTAGTTTCAAAGTCCGTTTGATGTAAGTTAGTAGTCAATAAAAAATGAAAATCAGTCCTGGTTTATACAGTCAATTGTGTATACTATAGATTTGGTGGCATTGAAATCTTACTATCTCATCTGTGGTGAACGTTTTTCCTTTTATGGAGTATGTAAACTGAGGTAGTGTATTATTATTGTGTGATTTGAGTGACATTCTCTTCAGCATGCATAACAGCTTAATAACTTAGTGCTCAAGACATTACATAATCATATTTCCAATCTTTTATTTTTCATAGACCTCACCGGAGAATCGAATTGTTGAAATTCAAGGCCGCGTAAGCAATGTACAAGGAACTGAGATCAATGCCACAGCAGAACCGATCGTTTTTTCACAAGAAGCTAGTGCAAAGTTTGACTGTGAATTATATTCACAAGCTGTCCAAACGACTGCTCAGTTCGATCAGTTTTACATTCAACCAATGGAAGCGTAATACACATCCAATTACAGTTAAACAGATTTAAGATCGTCATGTTATATTACCCTACACTTAATAAATGCATTTTGTAATATTTTTTTATTTTGTAGGCTTGCTGTTTTTGATTGAAAAGTTTGAAGAAATAAATTCTTGTCCTCCTGGTCTTAGTAACTAATGTTTATCGTAGTTGTATATTTTCTTCTATTGAGAAATGTTCTTCATTGGACCATAGTTCTTATGTTTTTACTGGTCTAGTATGTAGGGCAGATAGTAGAAATTGTTCTATCTCATTTGTATTAGCTACAGATACGCTGGAAACATAAATTTATTTGTAAATACTGTCAAGCAATCTTGAGTGAACACTGGTTAAGGTTAATCGTACTTGACAGTTATGATTAAAGTGTTCACGGATTAAAGTTTTAATAGTCGTCAATTTGGCGTTTGATAACTTTGGGATTATGATAACGGAGAGTTGTCGAAATATTTCCTACATTTCTCTTTGTGAGAACTATCAAACTGCATTTTCGCCACATATGTACTATTTAGTAGTATTTTGTGCCAATTTTGTTTGTTATATCATTAAAAGTCTTATTAGTTATTCATATTACTGTAATCCCCGAGATTCAGTAATCTTTAAAAATATTTTAGTATTTTAGAATGGAAACCATCGAAATAAGCAGTTTTAGATAGTTAGGTAGATTTGAAAATGTATAATTCCTTATTGTCTCAAATATCTATCGTCTTGTCAATTTTGTGTGAAGATAGATCGTCTTGCAAAAAATAATCCTTTTTGTACTTCTTCGCGGTACGTTGTTTAGTGGATACAAAAGTCTGTGGAACCATTTCTCTCTGTTTGACCATGTTAAATATAATTAACTTGCTATTTTTAGTCGCTGATATATTCAGCTACTATCCATCAATCTGCTAAAGTCACCTATTCAGTTGCACTGGGAAGTTTGTAATTACTTCACAACTGATTAGAGCAGACGGTTGCCATGGATTTTCTTCCTGAGTTTTTTGCAGGATTAGGAACTCTTCGTCGTACCAAAATCCAGCACTCGAAAGGCTAGCTGACATATCTTTAGGTATTTTGAAACACTTTTAAGACTTGGGATAACGTTCCTCAGAATTAATACTTTAAAAAGTGCGATAATGCTTTTTATTTATTAGTAGAATAGCTAAAATTTTAGGAATTGACTCACATATGACTTATCACCTCCCTATGTGTCCTTTTTCGGTAAACTCAATATATTGAGCACAAGTACTGTATAAAAACTAGCCGGACACACCCAGCCACCTTGTGCATATTAGCGCAGTAGGTAGTGAGCCACACTTATTGTGTGAGAGTGAGTGATTTTACCTGGCTTCCCAAGCCTCGGTAGATGGGATGGGGCTCGAGCCCATGACCCATCGGTTAATGATCATCTCCCTAAATCGCTGAGTCACAGTTCCACATACTGTACTGAATTTATTAAATAATGGTTGGTTGCTTGATTGTACAAGCTGTTCGCACTAGAAAATCAATAGGAAGAAGATAAAAGGTATTGTCTGGTTTTAAGGCTAAATTGATTGGAAGTCAACACTAGCTATTCACAAGTAGTATTCATTCTCTAGCTTTGCATTCGAAATTCTACTGACTAACAATCATATCTTCTTGCTTTTGTTTTACAGAACACATGGAAGATAAGCATTTCAAATGCCTAATCTTATGACTGGTAAGTGCGAAATACAAAGCCAGAAGTGTTATGATAGTCATTTAAAACTCACATGAAGTGATTTATGCAAACTTAGTCCTGTCCTGATTTTCCAAATGTTATGGTATAAATTAGATTGATGTGTATTGAACCGAAGTAATTACATCATATGTTATAGTGTGTTAAACTGTCATGTTGTAAAGATCAAAGTTGTTTGTAGGCTCACCAAGATTATTCCAGATTCCTTAAATTAGTACACAAATCTTAGTTATTTCTAATTTGATCAGTCAAGTTTCAATAGGAAGTATTTCATGCAGAAACTCATTTAAGCTACTTATAAGTAGTACATCTTCGCCCTACTCAAATGCTGTTACCGATAGGAAGTTCTGCTTAGAACTAGAAAAGGTTTTAGACTTGATAATTATTAGAACAAAGCATTTTTGTATATATCAGTCAATACATTAATATTTAGTGCCAGAGATCAATCTACTTTAAGTTATTTTGGTTTGATTTGCTAGTCATCATAACTCGAAAATGGATTAGAAGGGTTAGTAGAAATGTGAGAATGCATCAGGTTTAACCAACAGACTGTCTTTATAAGATTAATAGTATATAAGACAATACGTTTGGAAGCCATTTCTGACCGTGCAAAACTACTGCTTCATTCGTTTCTTGTTCATTAATGGCAGCAAACTGGCTTATAGTTCACACAACTGACGTGAATAATAAGTAACTTTACAAAGTGTCTCTGTACTACAGTCTGTGCTTTCCAAGTTTCCAATAGTATTCAAGCCTGTTTTTCACGTCTAGATCCATACTGGTAGGACATGCAAACGTTTTTTTAATCACATAAATTGATGTGTGTTTAGGATAACGTCAGTGAAGGTTTTCTGCGTGGGAAGTTGCTGTGTCTACGCTCTAAACTAATTATTCGGTGGTTTTATATGATAGCACAGACGTTACAAGGTAGCAACTCACTACATTTCTGACCTCCATATGGCATCCATTTTAATTGCCATCTCTTGTTGCTGATAGACAAATGAGCATCATGCTGTAGACTGACCCGTGCCAACCAAGCAAGTATCGCACCCGTTTAATTAGTAAACTAGTTAAAGCATGTTAACCATACTCCAGACAAGATTTTAACATTCATCCCCTCATGAGAATAAGGCTAACTTAACAGCTTAGTAAGTTGTTTACTTACACTATGCTCATTTCACTCAAAACATTTATTCAAAATTAGTTAGTACGAAGTGTGTCATACAGCAAAGTGTATTTTCTGAAAGTGTTTAAAATACTTTGATAGCGATTTCATCTAACAGGTTTCTTTGATAAAACGTCAACCAAGGAAAAAGAACACTAAAAGTAGACCGAAGTAAATGTACGCAGATTTACTCAGTAAAGTTGATTGAAATGGATAATATTTTGATGATGATTCACAATGGGATAGTTTGATATCTCTTGAGATTGTGTCAGTTTTTGGTAGTTTCAATATGTGACATTTTCACGTTAAATCATGATTGGTTAGTTCAAAATTATGTGTGCTAATTCTGTGGAAATTTATTCGTTATTCCTTTTCTAACCAATAGCGATCGCTTGACCTTGAACAGCTAACATTCTTCATTAACTTCGTTTCACATTAGATTGAAATATACAATGTTTACAAAGGCGTTATTACAGTAAACAATGGCATATTGTTAAAGAAATCATATTTGATGTGGAATTTTATAAAATTATGTCAACATACATACTGTTCTTTGACATAGGATCATTTATTCAAACATGCCTATTTGGTTAGTTATTTTACGAAATTAAAGTATTTTTTGGACACTTCAAGTAATAATTGCTATCGTGAATATTTTACAATCTATAAGCTTAATCGGTTACGTATTTTTCTCGTCTCACCGGGGGTAATATAATTAGTTGTTTAGGTTATAACCAAGGTACTTTATTTATTTCATGCATAAGCAGTATGAAAGTGTTAATTTATTAAAAAATGGATATTTTAATCGTGCTACTATTGTTAGCTAGCTAGTTCCACCAAGTAGAGGTTTTAACATAAGGTTCAAAAAACATCAGCATTAAGGATGATTTCCAGATGCATCTGTGAAAAATCAAGCTTTGGCATTATCAAAGTTACCATTCTATGTGTAATTCAGAATCTAAAGTTTACCACCTTGTGAATAGACCATAAATCATTCGTTTCATTGTATTATGAGTATTTTTAAAGTGGTTGATGTGTCACACTCTGACCTAAGTTCACGCTTATTTGACTTTTTTGCATCATTGCGTCGATCATCTATGCATGTACGAATTCTGTCCAGTATATTCACTAGTAGGATTGATACGATATCAAGAAAGAAATGTATGAAAGTTATTTATACGCAAGAAGTCACATAATTAATTCATGTATAACTTCCATTCCAAGTCGACTTTCGACATGTATTTGAACTGCTTTTCATCCTTGGTGATTACTTTACTGAACAACGAATTCCTTCCACATTCAGAAGCGATTTCATATTACAAGTGGGTTTCAGTGAAATTGTCATAGACAGCTTTTCCGTCCTGCAGTAAAGTTGCACGCAAGTGAGTAGTGATAAGGTTTCTCAGGATTGGATCCTATAATTTTGAACTGTGACTGTAGCCGACTCTCAGAATTAATAGACGTACGCAAACACATTCCTGCAGGTTCTGAGTTGTGATAAGCGGATCCAGCTCAATGTAGACTATCTAGAAGTCTACTGAATGACTGCGAACAGTGGTGGGCAGCGAAGACTAAAGGTAGAAAAGGCAGCGATGGTAGACAACAGTAGATAGTTATCTAAACTAATCAAGGAAACTGGAGCGAAAAGGTCAGTGATTAGTGAGACTAGCGGAGAAGGATGGGTCTTTGATTCACTGTCAGGGGAGACGACTGGAATGATGGACAAAACTGGCCTCTGGCTACTATTTTTTGCCGATTATCTAATCGGAAACTGAACAGAACATCGGGATAGGGCTCCCAACACTTAAAGAAGTCGAGAAAGTGGTAGGTAACCCAAAATGAGAAAGAGGAAGAGAGCCAGACGGATTAGTTTCAGAGGTATTTTAGGTCGATGGTCATGGATTTTTAGTCATTTTAACTAAAGTGTTAATTAGTTTATGGGAGTCAGTTAGTGAACATAGCATTTAAGATTCAACGGGTTCTAAAATCACCAGACGTCTGAGTGAAGCTGGAGAGCAGCAAGCTTGAGAAACCTAGGCAGGTTTCAAACCTGTCTGTGGGCATATCAACCAGATACTCACCCTCCACCGGGTTCTGAATCACAGACATATTGACACCCGACACTAGTTGTATATCTCCATCTGAAGGTACTACTCGACTACGTTGACAGAGATGTCATATAGCAACGTTTCTCACTGAAAGGGTACTGAGTAAGTACATCACTCTCGTTGCTCGACCACCCATGGACGTGTTAGAGACTATGGTGAGTTGTGTACCCTGGATGGTGGCCATCAAGGATGTCTTCCCTACATTCTTACTCATGGGGTCCCCGTTCATCTCTTGACTGTATAGAGATTGGTCTTGTTATAGGAGACTCCTTGGCATATCTAGAATACGCAGATGAAAGTGAAGATGCAGTCTTCTGGACACCTTGAGTGGCAATTTAAGAATGTTTGGTATGGGTTTCTCGCCACTCAGATTGAAGTTGTTGCTCCAGGACTGGTCATCTGGGTTGCCTTGTTTAATAATTGGGACTGAAGCGGCTCAGCTGGTTAACCACTTCATTTACCGGAGAAATGGGATTCATTGTGGTGCGTCAGTGATCGACTAAATCTCGATTGACTTTCGCCAACTTACACCATCTATGGCGCAGCTGTGATATTCAACTGTCTATCAAGGGTTGACTGTGCTGTGCTGCAGTTCAATGTGTCCTATATGGATGTGAAACATACCCATTGAAGGTAGAGGATATGAGAATGCTTCATGTGTGTTTGATGACCGTTGCCTTCGTAGCTTATGTTGCGTGTCGTGCTGTCAGCACGTAATACAGAAGTCAGGTGTAGAATTTTAGGATGGAGAGGAAAGTCAGTTGATGAGGTTGTGAACCCTCAACAGTTCAGTTAGCTGTGTGGGATATGTGTTGGGTATACCTGGTAACCGTCTACTTCATCGCATAATGTTAGGTGAAGTAGGTTTAGGTTGAAAAAGGTTAAGGGTATTCAGACTAAATCTTGTCTCTGAGTGACAAGGCTCAGACTCGATATTTTCGGCACAAATGTATCCACACATCATCTCCAGTATTTTCTTATCCTTCCTTGTTATCTTTTCACGTCTTTCTACAACTCTGACTACTTTCTTCCTCATTTCTTCATTCTTCTTTCTCATGCTTTCTCGCTTGATTTGTTGACATAAGGTTTGGCAACTTGGACTGGTACTCAGTAAAGCGTGATCCTATGTTGATCTTGTCTGTTTGTCTGTTTAGGAAGTCAGGTGATAATGAAGTTTTACGCTCGATAATTAAACTGAATATGAACGATTCTTTGACATAACGTTAATTAAGTCCTTTCATGTATATTCGAATGATTGACTTCTTGGATGCTTGAAGAGTTTTTCTATTCAGATTGAAATGATGCGTTAACTTCATTTATTCTTCGAATTTAATAACTCGGACAACTTGCTTTTTATTTTTATAAACAGCAGTGAAAGCAACATCAACGTTGTGTATTTTATGGAGGTGAGAATTCTTTTTGCAACCTGTTTTGTCAATTATTAGTTATTGTAGCTATGTACTTTATTGTTGCATGTTGCATGTAACTTTTGTTAGTCACCGGTCATTTTTATGATAGTCCTGGGGAAAACTTTGTAGAGAAATTTCACTATGTGATATCCGGTTGGGATGACTGAAGTTTAGGGAATCAGCGGTCAGATGTTATATCAACATTAGCTTAAAAAGAACTGTTCTACACTTGTCCTTGTGTTCTATATTGTGTTGTTTGACTGAAATTGACTACTCAGAATTTCACGAGTGATTAGTTTCCCGTGTTGTCGTTCTTCTAAATCTTTTCCTAATATCTCCTACCCAGTATTACTTGCATAAACTCCACAGGATGTTGAGTGTAGCGTGACCAACTTAGTTTCGTAAACATCATGACAAACTTTATTAGCCTAACCTTTTTTCCTTTGATTAACCTTGCAAGATGATTAGATAAGGTGAAGAGAGATTTTTTCTTAGTAGCGATCTGTGGTCAACTTTCTTGACATTTTTCGATGGATCAATAGCTGCAAACGTAATGTACTTATCGTATGTGCTTAATATCTTTCAAAAATCGGACCACTCTGGTTGGAATTTTCGTTTTTTAATGGTATTTCACCACCATAAGTTGAACTTCAAAGTGACTTAACTAGAACCAGATTTCGCAGGGTAGGAAATATCATATCAACGGAAACAGGAAAGTAAAGTTATACTTCTAGTCATCTAAGTGTGGTAACGGCCTCTTTTAATTCGGTTATGGACCTCGGACTAACATACTGAATTTAAAGTTACCACACATTTTAGATACACAAGTGACGTAATATATTAATAAATGTAATAGTCAATAGATTTTAGAAAGTCGATATTTCCAAAATTTATACGATGAATTCGTGTTGCTTATGGCTGTACTGAGGCAACATAACCTGCTTACCCACAGCGAGTTTTTCCCCCTTTACCGCTTTACCTAGTGATCTTCATTATTATGCAGTATACTCTGGCAATCGTATACTCGTGATCTGTTGATAGACCCACTGGATCATTTTCTAATCTTTGCTTACCTTAACCAATATTGACTCTCAGTGACGATGCGTAGTTTTCAAACTTGAAAGGACTTAAGCTGACCAATTGAAAAAGCTGTTCTCCTCATTCTCAATAAATGAAATTGACGATTACCAACAGTGACTATCTGAGTATAATATTCGAACTTCAACTGGAGTGATGGATCAACAACGGATTTAGTCTAAGTTCCATGTAATCATATCTTTTAAGAAAGAGAGAGGGTGGCAGAAGTCAGTTACACTGTGTGATCGAGTCTTGACAAACATCGCTTGTATTCAATAGGTGTTACGAATCACCAAATCTCAATTCTACTTACTGTGTTTGCACATAATATGTTTCTTTAACCATCCCTCTAAAATGTACCTGTAACAAAATGTATTTGACCATTGTCTCTTTTGGTAACCCTATCTTTGACTACTGTTAGAGGTTAGTGATTGTAATTTATTTTGCTTATTCGTAGTCAGTATAAACTTTCTGAATGAAAAATCATACATCATGGTTCTATTTTTCCATATATACATTATTCATTTGCAGTGCATATTTATTTGCAAGAATGCGGTTATTTCCTAGACGGGACTTGGATATTGAAAATGATATTGATCGTAAAAAAGGAAAGTACGAGCATAACAATGAATTAGAAATTTCTCCATCCTGTAGTAATTATCCTACTGAACAATTTGATGATCAAAACCTAGTGAGATCGGATTTTTATCTAATATTATACTATTTCATATTTACAGTACTTTGTTAAATGAATCTTGAAAAGTGTTGTTTAATGAAGCATTAGGGAAATGTTTGGTATTCCTCATTACTACTACATGGTTTAAACAAGAATATTATTTTTGTGCTTATGTAGGACAGCCCTGTTAAGTTTATAGTTATCCAGTTACAAATGATTCCGTAACATCGATAGTGGTTTCGAGTAAGGCTTGAAATTTTCACTCTTATAGATGAGCTAGTCAATAAACTTATAACTCTTTTATGATAAGAAGTAGATACAATATGTTTCACACCTGCATCAACACCCAGTAACACCTAGAATAGAGATAGCATGAAAAAGCCTGCTCGTGGTCATTAAGAGATATTATAACAAACAAGAAGTTGTCCAGGAAATAATATGGATCAGTCAGATCCCATATATATATATATATATATATATATATATATATATATATATATATATATATATATAACTGTATTTATAGTTTCGCAAACCTATGGGCACTGCACTGAACAACTGTTTCGTTCTAATTGGGCAATCCTCAACAGAGCACAGTAACATAATTACTTTTGAAGATTTTGATTCTTCAAAGCATTTAAGTGAAACTGATGTATCGAAAAATCTCTTAACATTAGTTAATATAGGTTAAGCGACATCATGGTATTTCTGCGTTGCAACATTTAGTCATAGTTCGAAATAATATATTCACGTTTAAATCCACTAAATTATGATTTACACTGATTAACGGGCAGTTGAACGCGATAAACCTTGAATGGTCGAGATAAATAACTTTTTTTTCTTCACACTACTTTTGACTTGTTGCTTCATCACTCATTTTATGAATATAATTTCACTCATCCGTTTCTTTTTTTTTTCTATACTTCGTTTTATCACTTTTACGAGACAGTCATCATTTTCACACCTGAAAGATAGTGTAATTATTCGTAATATTGTAAATACCTTTTACGGACTAATCTATGGTGTAAAGAATAATGATACTGACAATAATTACGATAGACTAACGAAACCCACTGAAACAGATGTACGAAATGTTGGATTAATTGAAGAATCCACTTCAAGTGAATTAATTTTTTGGTATCAAGTGATATCTAACTTAACTACAAAAGTGAGTATTGTACTTCTTTCTGTTTTGCCTGTTTTCACTTATTATAACTGTTGTTTAGTAATCTTTCTGATAATTTTGTTCTGCGAAGTAGAAGCAACTTAAAATTTTTTATGGATACTTAAAAATTGTCTTTGCAACAAGTTCTTCAAAAATACGATTCATTCCCACCATTCAGCGAAATCTCTCGGGAAAATGGTAAGTTGTTAATAGCTGTCCTTGACTGTTGGTTTGAGCCATGTATGGCGGTGTAGACTAGCCCGGTTGGGGTCCGCAGGACAAGAGAAACTGGTGGTTGGAGAGTTTACGTGATATGGTTCAGAACCGATGTTAGTGGCGCAGATGTATACGTGCATTATCCTCATCATAACCGCTATACTTAATCTCAACATCTTCCTTCCTCTCTTTTACTACTTTCTACTTCCTTTGACCGGTTTTTCTTTTCTGGTTCATCTTCCACTTATTGCCTTGTTACTTGATGTGCCGATATAAGGTGTGGCAACGAAGCGTTACGCAGTAGTGCCTGGTCCTATGTTGATCCTGATGATGCTGTCTCGATCATACGTCAACTATGGTGTTTTGGCATCTTTGTTAAAGTGTTACTTCACTTTGATATCATGTATCATGCCAGTTTTAATTTATCACTTATTTGCTTGACTAACACAGTAAAGTCTTTTCTTGTAATCACTGTTATTATTATCATTATTATTTATCCCTTGGGTTCCTAGTGAAACATAGGGCTTCGGTAGCACGCCTCCATTGCACTCTGTTCTCCGCAGTCTTTCCATCCTCGCTCCACGACTGCCCACAAGCTTTCATTTCTTCCTCATATGATCTGCTCCATGTCACCCTCACCTCGGATGCTTTGGATTCCACTCGAGTGCCTGGCCTGGAGCGTTATGTCTTCAGTCGGCCTTCTTACTGTATGCCCAATCCATCTCCTTTTACTTCTACATATTTCAAGTTATTATTCATCGTAGACTGACATCAGCTGGAGGAACAAAGGAAACCTGGGAGCACTGGACAGCTGTTTCATCCTAGTATGGAACTCCCCAGCAGTGCGCACCCACGACCCTGCCAGGAATGGAACCCGTGACCTTCAGGTTCCGTGGCCAACGCGTTACCATTGAGCCACTGGGTCAGAACCCGATGGTCCATATTTCCAGCTTCTGCATATTTGTTGAGCGATGGGCTCATGGTTGGTTCGTTCCCAGAGTTCTTTGTTGCTTCCGTATCGAGTGAGTTTAGGCGGCAGCTGTTGATGAATGTCTGTAGTTTGTTGCACATGCTTTTCGTGACACGCCAAGTTTCTAAACCATATAGCAGCACTGACTTGACATTGGTATTGAAAATCCGGATCTTGTTCACGCTTTATGCCGAGTGCAGTAGATCTCCACACTGATTATTTCAGATTAGTGAAAGCCTGTCTTGCTTTTCGATCCTGGCTTTGACATACTTGTCTGTGCCGCCTGTAGTTGAAATGATGCTGCCTAGGTAGAGTAGTAGGTAAAAGAGACTACTTCCTTTAAGCTTCTCCCACTGATGGTGATTGGGGCTTGTTGTTGATGCTGTTGTTGGTTATGTATCTTCATCATCTCTGTCTCCTCTAGGTTCACTTGAAGTCCCGTCTTCGATGTGCCTCGCTTCTTTTGTCAACTTGTTGCTTTTTGCCTTTACATCTTCGAGCTTGTGCGACACTAGACATAACTCATCATCGGCGAAATCTAAACCTTCTAGAGTCTCTCCATAGGTCCAGCTAGCGTATGCCCATCTTCTCGCTCTTCACGGTTTGCTGTATAATACAGTCGATCACATTCAGGAAGATCATGGATGATAGTAGGCAGCCTTGTCTTACTCCTGTCTTCACTTCACTTCAAAGGCGTCACTGAGCTTTCCATTGTGAATCACTTGGCATATAGCATCCTCATATAGCTGTTGAATGAGATAGATAAAGGTTTGTGGCACTAAAACCGTGGTGCTGAAGCAGTTGCCAGATTACTTCTCGGTTGACGATGCCGAAGGCCTTTTCAAAGTTGATGAAGCTGAGGTAGAGAGTTGACTGCCATTCTATACTCTGTTCTATTATGATACGTAGTGTTGCAATTTGATCCCCACATGATTTATTCTTCCTGAATCCGGCCAACCTGTTCCAGTCGTAATTTTGAATCCAGATCATTGTTCAGTCTCTGTAGTATAATACGGCTTACTATTTTGCTTAAGGTGGACAGCGGCATGATTCTTCCACGGATCGGTATAGTGTAGAGAAATAACTTTGAGGTTACGTTTTTATGATACTCACCAGTAGAATCTGTGGTACGCGTTTCGTCACATTTGTAAGCCTTCAGTTGAATTTACCAATTTCTCAGTATTTGCTCATATTTGTAAAGACTTATACAAATTATTACTATGTCCAATTTGTGAAAGTACCTGTGCTAAACTAAAAGTGAGTATCACTGTTAGTAATTTGTAAACCAATAGAAGCAACACTATTTCAAAAAACACAGTCACCGAATACCTTGTTGATTGCATTGTAATACATATTTTCTGGAATTTATGCGTTTACTTCAATACTTATTAGTTAAAAACAATGCTAAAAGACCATTGTCTTATCCTTGTTACTGAAAATTTGTAGTTAAACTTTATTTTCATCTATCTGATGTGTTATGCATGACGAGTCAACATCTATACAAATCTGCTATGTTGTCTGTAATAGAATTAAATTGAAAGAAAACTGAAATTAATGCCAGTTCACGAAGTCATTGACTGAATTGAACTTTAGAGAATTAAAGTTTTTCTGTCCGAAGAAATCAAGATTTTAGGAATCAATAGTTGGAGATTGTCAGTAACAGGATTCAAAACCAATTATTATGCTATATAAACAGCTACCAGTTACCTCTTTCAGAATTCTTAGCATCATATGTGTTCTCATTATCCTCTCCTCATATTCTTTATGTTTATTTGCCACTCATCTCTTATTGGTTTTCTCCTACTTTGTTTGAAAGTGTGGTGACTAGTACCGTCATCTTAGGCTATCTATTCCACTTATAATTTCGCTGATAAATGTAACTGTTAGTTGCGATTATATCTGATAATATCGTTTGCTGCTATCATAAGGAGTAATTCGTAAATGTGGTAAAATTTATTCGATTTTTTTGTGGCTCACGTTCACTCCATACATCCAGTCAACATCATTCCACTCTAAATAATGTTTTGATTTGTTTCTCATTTCCGAATCGCGAATTACTATTTCAGGACAGATATGTGTTGTTACCTCATCTTAAAATATGGAGTGGTCGAACACCTCAACTACTTCCTTTAGCTTGTAAGTTGTATCGGCTCTAGAAGGATCGATGACCGATTAAATATTGGCACACAGAAAATGCCCGACTATCACCTATCAACCTACACTGTCAGTAAGATATTTGAATTTCTACCAACGACTGAGCACACTGTGAAGCTATTCTCTCTTATCTACTATATCGCTTTAAAGCAAGTCAGAACATGAATATATGACTTCTCTGTTGGTACGTCTAGACTGTGCAGAGGGTTATTGGCTCCCAGGTTTGTTTCTACATGATAACTGAAATCAATGGTTCCAGTCTCCGGTTGATATGGTTCACAATCGGTGGCAGTGGCTTGCTTTCATCCACATCCTATCTGCATCACAGCATTTTTATATTGTTCAGTTATTTACTTCAACCTTTCATCTTGTTATCCTTTATATCAGTCTACTGATCTCAAGTGTGGCAACCTGAACTGTACTGCAGTAATTTTAAGTCATATATTGATATTCACTAGCTGACTTGAAGTTAAGTAAATCAGACGACTTTTAATGCATTGAATAGCTAGACAACACATGTTAGCTATGGTACTTGACCAAACTATTTTTCCTCCCGTATTGTTATTTGTGACCTCTTGTCTGTATTTTAGAAATGAAAACTGTTCACTTTGGCAGAAACTGCATTTTCTCAGTATATGATTAAGACTTTGTTTTTCACATCAGATTTCATTGACTAATTAGATTATTTTATGCTAGCCAAGCTGTATATGCTGTTATTATCACTAAGCTTACAAATCAATATATTATTCAAGTTAACTAGTTCTAACCTGTTGCGTGATATATGAACTATTTGAGTGTGTAGACATGTGAAATGCTTTATGGTATATGAAAGTTGTAAAAATGATCTGTCTTTTTTATTTTATGCGTCTTGAAATTTAATCATCATCACGGTAACTCGTAGTCGGATCAGCCCTGGTGGGTTAGTGGCCGATGAGATCTCTGCACTGATGATGATAAAGGCTTGAGTTTCTGTCGTTATTTTATATTATTATTACTATTATTATTATTATTTGCCCTTTGGGTTCCTAATGGAACATAGGGCTTCAGTAGCACGTCTCCAGTGAACTCTGTTCTCCGAAATCTTTTGAACCTGGCTCCACGACAGCCCACAACCTCTCATTTCCTCCTCACACGATCTCCTCCATGTTACCCTCGGACGTCCAACTCGTCGCTTCCCATGGGGATTCCACTCGAGTACCTGGCCTGACGCGTGATGTCCCCAGTCGGCTTTCTCAGTGCATGCCCAATCCATTTCCACTTCCTTCCAATGCATATTTGTTGGGTGATAGGTTCTTGGTTGGTTCGTTCTCAGAGCTCCTTGCTGCTTATTCTTATCATTCTGGCCATCTGATCTTCAGTAGCGAGCCAGGGTAGGCAGTTGTTGATGAATGTCTGTAGTTTATTGGAAATCTCTTTCGTAACGCGCCGGAAAGTCTCTGAACCATACAGAAGCACTGACTTGATGTTGGTGTTGAAAGTCCGTATCTTGTTCCACATACTGAGTGCAGATGATCCCCACACTGGTTTCAGGCTAATCAATGCCTGTCTTGCTATCTTTCCGATCCTGGCTGACTTTGACATCCTCGTCTGTCCCGCCTGTAGTTGAAACAGTGCATCCTAGATAGGTGAAGGAGGTTACTTCCTTTAATTTTCTCCCGTTGATGGTGATTGGGATTTGTTGTTGTTGGTGGTGATGGTGGTGCGGTATCTTCATCACTTCTGTCTTCTCTATATTCACCAGAAGGAAGTCCCGTCTTCGCTGCCTCTTCTGCCAACTTGTTAGTTTTCGCCTATAGGTCTTCAAGTTTGTGTGACATCAGGCATAAGTCATTCAACCGAATAGTTTCGTAAATATTGAGCATAAAATAGAAGACTTGATATTTCATGTAGAATATCTTTATAAAAATAGTGTATTTAAACAAAAATCATTCCAGTTTTCTCTACGCGAGTTTTATTCAGGCTTCTGCTGTGATGTAATCAGAAATAGAAAATCAAGGATACATTGGTGAGGTTGAAAGCAACTAAACAGTTTTGATAAACTACACAAATCGTTGAAATCAAAGCATATGCTGACAATTTAGCTTTCTCTACATGCTTCTAACCTCATCCTTGAATTCTCTTTATTTTTGATTATCTTCTTGAATAATAACAAATGAGACTTCCAGAGGGAACGACTGAATTATTTTGCTTCAATCACGTTGAAATTTATACAGAAAAGCTACTCATTATCATTATGTAACTTCTCGATATGGCTTAGCGTTTCAAGTTATCAAACTTGACATTACCAGCACATCATTTGCACTGGGATCGAAAATAGAAAAACAGAAACAACGAAAATTCATCGAAAATCATAAAAGAAACGAAGATAGAATGGAAAAGGAAGTTATATCGCGTTTAGAGTCGTAATACCAAGCGAATGCATTCAAGCCACTACGACTCAGTGTGTCATGTCAGCGAGAATCATCACTCATCAATTTCGATTTTCACACCATCCTCAAATTTAGAAGTTGATACTGCCTTACATTTCTCAGACCAACTATCAGACTTTATAAACTGATGTTGCATTAAAGTCTAACTACGTTTAACCCTTCTCCCGTCTAACAAACTACCTACCTCAAATGAGATCGCACGTCACGGTAGATAGTGACTAGGCATGCTTAAAACATGTAACTACCTCAGTAGATGAAGTTTGACAAACTCATCAACTGACACAATTCTCACCTCACCTCTACATTACTGACGTACGTTGTGGCTGTATGGCATACTACTACTGACGTGAAGGAGGCAATGTTGGTTGGATACCTGGAGTGTTCTCACATCGTCTACTTTAAGTGGTGATGTTTTATGAGGATAGGTTAGGACGTCTGGAGGTGCAGTGCAGTGCAGTAGACTCGATCCCTATTGGGTAATCAGATATCTCGCTTGTTTGGAAGGTGATGCAAGTTGGCGAAGGTGGATTGATCCTTTTGTATCAGGGCTGAGATTATTTCCAGACTAACCTATTCGGGCTTGAACGACTTCATGAGTAAAGTGGTCAGCGCGCTCAACTTAAATTGCTATTGCTTGATAAGGTATGAGAGCATATCGTGCATTCTCAATTTGTCACTAGAAGTGTATAGAAGGCTCCACTTCTTGTCTTTATCTTCACCCAAGAGGACGGTGTTATCTGAGTAATCGAAGTCCAATAAGAAGTTTCATTTGATGATATCAAGCCCTGTAAAGTTAAACAATGAGAAGTAGGTCTCTAATGTTCTGTATATGACAGGATCTTATGAAAACTGGCAGATCAGACATCGTCGATGGATACCAGTCAACGCATATAATCCACCTTGTATCTATTCATAGAATCCCACATGACCGCGTGTCTTCGGGTAGGCAGCCTTTAACAGAGCTATGCACTCACTCACCCCACTTTCATTGAGAGGAACTACCATAAGATGTTTAGATAGACAAAGTTGAATGCCGTCTTCAGGCAATACAAAATAGCTAATACCAGGTGACGTAGAAATGTCTGTTTTCCAAGACCTGGCGGCGGATTTGTTTAACACACGGCAATGTTTGGAGCCTGATTGGTTTCTTGATTTTTCCCCCCTGAGTTCAAGTTAGACATCTAATGATTAAATAACTTAAATAGTAAACAGTATGTTCTTGAACGTGTGGCTCATTGATCTAGGGACTTTATTTCCAACTGATGGGTCACAGGTTCGAACGCAGCTCCACCCGCCGAGGTTTGAGCAGCTAGGTGGTAAAATTAGCCACCATACAAGTAAGTATGGCTCACCACCCATTGCATGAATGTGCACAAGATTGCTGAGTGGATATTAATTTTCGAGTGTCTAGGCTCATCAAACTGATTCTATGTTGTTATGGCAGTGGGAATTTTTTGATCTTTCCTGCAGACTTTTTCTATCAGCAATTAAGGCTTTTCATGGCTGGCCATATTTGATTCCCATTTGCCGGCTAACATATTGCAATCCATCTGATCTATAATCGTTATCAACTTTCCTTGAATATACCTGACGTGACCCACCAGGACCTGTTGCACTTCTTCGTGTTAGTTTACTTACATGCTTCAAAACTTGCGCAGTAGTTTGAAACTTCATCCTTATGTTCATCCGAGGATGCAGTCGGACAGTGAGTTATCGACGGGTAACTGGAAGATACCTGAATGATTCATTGAAGTTTCTCATCCACCATCTCAGTCTTCTTTCTTATGAATGGGTCGCGGATCCATTTTTCTCTATGTTCATTTTCATTCGGCTTTACGTAGACGCAGTTTTATGTTATTAATATATAGAATATTCGTAACTGATTGGGCTTCAAGGATGTAAGAGGAATTGTTCACTTTAGACCTTAATTATGTGTAGATTGTGTTTCACCTTGAACTATTCTGATGATTTCATGCCTGTTTTTCATTTTATTATCTTAGCTTACTGTTTTTTTTGTTCTCTGAAAACGTCCGCTTTATTTTCAGTGATAATTTATTGTATTTAGATTCATGACCTGCACACTATAGTCTTGATATGTTCATTATTTTTTATTAATGACACGATCCTTTTGTTATACGTTCAATTTAGCATTAAGACCAGTTCTACTACTGAATCTTAGTTTTTCACCCCCCGAATCGTTACTTCATATTATGGGTGAGCTTCATTTTTTAATAATATAAACACTACTAAAGTCGTATCATCAGGAATACTCTACTATTGTCTTTCTGTTTATTTATCAGTTTGTTAAATGACATACCATCTAAACAGTTAAGTATATGATATTTGAATTTCGCTAGGTCATAGACTTTCTAACTTATATTCTGTTACCATGCAAACTGAATTCTTTAACTGTTTGATTGTTATTATCATTTATCTGTTGAGCTGAAATGAAACTGTGTTACCTTCCAGTTAACTTTTTAGAAACTATATGTGTTAACCTTACTCAAATTGTTGAAACTAGTGCATGTGCGGAAGACCTAGAATATTTGAAATGTGTGGTATTTTCTTCGCCTCCACAATGTTTGCTGTTCTTGTTGTACTAAAATCTACCAAACAAGCTCACTGGATAGAGTTATAGATTTCTGCTTTCATTCTTTTAGCATGATAGTAACACTGTACGTTTTTTTAATTAACTTAGGCTGGATTATCTACAAATACCACGTACTCTACCTCTCGTAAACGTAGAAGTCGTCTACTGTCTTTCAGTAAACATCCAAAACTCACAACAGATTACTTACTACAGCTTTTGGTTTCATACAGTAAGGTGAGTTTTTGTTTGTTCGTGGCTTGTTATTCATAGTATGTGTTATATTCTAGATGGTGTTGTATTTTACTACCGACCTAGCTTTTTTGACCCTGCCGTGTGCACAATTCAGTCTTACATCACTTTAAATTTTCTTTTGTTCTCATAGGCCTTGTTACTGGAGAATGATTAAAATGGTCTCTGCATCTCAAAAAAGCAAAATGCACTTGTCAGTCACTTGGACATACTTGTGGTAGGCAATAAGTTACACCCATTGTGTAAGGGTGAGGCATACAACTTGGATACTCAAACCTCCTTAGGTTAGACAGGGTTCGAACAAATGACCCACTGTTTCTAAGTCCAGTGTCTAAATGAATGATATACAGCTTCACACGTAACATTTTTGATCATTGTGGTATATTTCAATTCCACTTCATTTTGTTTATTAGACATCAAAAATTGGATAACGTTTACAACAGTCACGTCAAGGACTACAAATGTACACCTACATTATCTTCATCGGTGTTGAATCATGTCACTGGAGATCTCTAAGTACTGGTTCCCGAACAACAGCTGATGTGGTGGTCGAATTTACATGTCAGCATGACCCAACTAACTGTGATCCCGGAAGATTTGTTCCTTGAGGTCCTACCATACCACCTGAACGAAAATTGTTGCTCCAGGACTAGTCTTCATTAACACTCCGACTAGCAATAGGGAATGAAGTAGTTGAGTGCATTGAACACTTCACTTACCTGGGAAGTCGGATCAACACTGGTGACCGAGGAAATCTCTGCATGGACTCAAAAGGCTCGTTTGGCTTTCGCCAAAAACGCCATCGGTGGTGCCGCCGTGATATCCGATTACCTACTAAGGGTCGGGTTCATTGTGCTTCAGTTCGCTCTGTTCTACTCTCTCTCTGTGTGTGTGTGTGTGTGTGTGTGTGTGTGTGTGTGTGTGTGTGTGTGTGTGTGTGTGTGTAAAACATGGCCATCAAAGATAGAAGATATGGAAAGGCTTCAGGTTTTTGACCACTTTCGCCCTTGTTGCATATGCCGTGTGTCGTGGTGTCACCGCATCAGTAATGTAAGGAGTTAGGTCTGGAGTTTTGGGAAGGAGAGCGAAGTCATGTCACAAGATTGTGGACCGTCATCGGCTCAGTTGTCTAGCATATGTATTATGCATGCCAAGTCACCATCTGCCTCGTCTCACAATGTTAGCTGAAGTCGGTTCAAGGGCGACTAAACTACAATATGATATCACTTCCTAGAGTTGTTGAATGCTAGCTTGAGATATATTGGGAGAAGCAGACTAGCTAGTTGGAGTTCACCTGACAACAGAAACCAGTGGTTGAAGACTATGGGTGATATGGCTCAGAATCAGTGTCAGTGGCACAGATGCACACACACTTCGCCTTCATCTTAACCGCTATGCTGAATTCAACATTTTCTTATGTCTTCGTCCTTTCTTTAACTACTTTGTACTACTTTTCACCGAATTTTCTTCCTTTCTTTATCTTTCATATTATTACTTTGTTTCTTGATATACTGATACTTAGGTGTGGCAACTTGGACCTTGGTGCAGTAATATCTGGTCCTATGCTGACATTGATGATGGTGATGAAGAAACGTCTGTTGAATAGCTGTAAAACCGAACATAGCTGCAGTCGGTTTATTTAACTTACGTTAAGTGCAACCTTCCACTACTGACCAAAGTAGCTTGACAGCAGCTAGTTACATCATGTAATGCTTCATTTGTTTTGCCTTATCACTCTTCTGGTGACATACAAAACCCATCTAGTCTCAAGGATCTTGAGAGAGATCATTGTTAGTTTTCATGCACTTTCTCGCTTGAGGATGACATCAGGCTTCAAAGCAGAAGAACCACTGATCGGCTGAACCCCGGTCGCCAGCCACGTGTTTGGAATGATGGAAAAGATTTGCAGCTCCGTATGAGGATGATAATGGTTTGGTGTTCTACGAACTTGGAGAACACTGTGTCACAGTAACCTGTGTGTTGTCTTATTGAATGAATCTATGATGACTTTGAAAAGCGTGGTGTATATCAGTACTAAATTTTAATTTCTGTTCACGCTTTCGCTGACTGCATTTCTAACTATTTAGGGTATGAATTCTTCCAAAAGCATTTATTCATACTAGCAAATGGGTTTAACGCTTAACTAGGGATGAGTTGGACATAGAAGGTTATGTATGGAGTCTGGCGCTCGTGAGTGGAGAGTTGTGACCGCATCTTACTACTTGGTTCAACCGGCTGGTGTACACTTTCCCATACAACTCAAACCAACGTTTAGTGACTTTATGAACTGTTTCTATCTTGGTCTCGCCTGTCATAGATTTTTTGTAACTTTATCCTACTTTTTACAATATACATCGACTCAGGTGGTAGTTGATCATGTACACATGTGCAAGTTACTTCAGTCGGTTAGGCTTCACAACTTCGTCTGATCTGCCTTTCTTACCCGAAACTCCACGCCAAACCCTAAGATCCCTCATCTATAGCTCAACCTGTAAATTGCTCTTGTTACGATAAAACAAGCATCAGAGGAGGAACCTAGAGCATTTTTTGTAATATTATCATGATGTTTGCATTTCACCTGAGATATCCGACTATCTGTCAAAGGATGAGTATACTGCGCTATAGTCCGTTCTGTCATGTTTTACGGCTGAGACATGACCGTTAAAAATCGAAGACATGAAGCGATTACAGGGTTTTGATCACAGATGTCTTCGTAGCGTTGCTCAAATTTGGTGGGATCACCCTGTGAGCAATGTTGAGGTCAGGCGAAAGGTACTAGACAAGACAGACAGATCGATTGATGCGGTTGTGAACCTTCATCGATTGAAGTGGCGTGAACGTGTGTTGTCACCGATGTGTCACTCTAGAAGAAGCTGGATTAGTTTGGAAGAGGGTTCAAAGTGATGAGACAAAGACGTGGCATCAGTTGACGAAGTGCCTAACTATTAGTCTGAGCCATGTGGAGGAATTTTGGTCTGGGGTCCCGGAAACAAAAGAAATCCGTGGTTGAGGACTCTTGGTGACATGGCTGAAAATCGGTCTCGGTGGTGCAGATGTATTCACTCCTTGACATCTAAAGCTTAAATATTTGCACAAACCCGTTATCTTCAGAGTTTTAATTCTCTCATACAACTTTGTCTGCTCTGATACCATTTTTTCTACCCACCTACTATATGTATACTACCGTGAAGTGTGGTAACTTGAGCTGATGCAATTGTGTGCGAGGTTTTAAGTTAATTTTGTCTGTTTATCTACACTTCATCTCATTTTCGTTTCGTGCTGAAAGAGCATTCATTTGCGAAAAAAAGTCGGATACAAAGATCAAACAACCAAGCATATATCATACCCCGTTGTGGTTAGTATTTAGGCATCCATAGTTAACGACCAGTGATCTAATGCAGCAGGTTCATTATCACAGCTTTGATCGATGATGAATATCTTATTTGAAGCTTATTCAAACCCTTATTAATGAAATAAATTTATTCTGTTAAGTACTTAGTTTTTAACGTACAATTTCACTTACCAGGCCATAAACCGTACTAGGTGAAGGCTGCTGACATTAACTGACAGCTCAAGTCTGTTACCCATTAGAGGAAAATCGAGTGCTTGATAGAACAAAACACAGTCTTACTAACAATCTGAATGTTTGAACACTTAACAGCTTTGGTTGTTACAAATGCTTTTTATCCTACTAGTCACTGCAAGATACCAACTAAAGCTTTCCACCTATCCTTAAGGATTACATCATAAGATGTACTAGTCCAATTAAACCTTCGATATGTATAGCCCTTCATAATGTTTTAAACCGTTAACTAAACTGTTAACAGCAACAACATAAGTAGCCAATTAAACTTCTACATGTTATAAAGATCTACCTTTTTATCCGAAATGAAGAAACCGAATTGGTTATTTCTGTCGTTGCTAGGGTGACCTTTAAAGTCGCCTCATATCTTTGCTGCAAATACATTTATTTTATTTTTTTTCTATCTGTAGGATCAGAAATTTTTAAATCTACTATATGAAAGTGAACACTTTGAAAATTGATCGATTGGCTTGGTGTAATCAGTCTTAATGCCTTAAATAAATCAGATATTAATGTATCAGTTGTTGAAAAATATAATGATCCACCATCAGTGAATCAACTTTTATTTGATAGAGATTACTCGAAAAATCGACTATGTAATCCTGAGAGTGAAAAATCTAACTCATCATTTACAGTGATAGACAATGTGCCTTCTGCTCATCCAGAATATCCAATTCATGTTTTAGTTGCTAATTTTTTGGCAAATATTTCACAACATCCATCAAGTTGTATTTTTAAAAATCTTGAAAGTAAGTTGATCCTTGTTGTCTTTGTGTTTTATGTCGTTAAAGTTGGTTATTAATACAATAGTACAACATTGTTTACTGAATGACGTTCAGAGGATGAATTATTGCTCAAAATTGTGTCATATGACTTTTTCATTACTTAGTCTTAGTAGTTCCACTCTTTTTTCCTTCTTTAACTTTATTCATAGTAAAAGTTTTCGTATATCTATGATCAGTGTTGCCTAATTTCTGCAGTGAGTGTTAGGTGCTGACTCAATGAACAAAGAGTCAGTTATCAAACTAAATCTATTCAGAAATTCATACGAACTCATAAGAAAATTAAAAGTAATAATATAAACAGGGATTTCAGCATGACTGTGACAAACTTAATTGGCTTTGACATTTTATCGACTCAGCTAGACAAAGTAATTTATCTTACGAATACCAAGTAATAACTACGAAGTCAAGTAAGTGGGTGAAAGTAAGTTTTCGAAGTTAGTCAGGCTATCAGGGTATAGAAACTTAGCTAAGCTCATAACGGATAGACTTCCATGAAGTTAAATCATGTCGAGAGGAATTTCACTGTTACTATGCATATAATAAAACACAACCACACAATGGAGTGGAGCAGAGTAACGGTTCTAACGACTAATTTAGTTAACTGAAGAGAGAGGGGTCGATCATGGAGTCGAATTATTACCTAACACATGCAGTGCGATCCAAGATGCATGAAAAATCGCTCTGTCAAAAAAGAAAAAAACCGCAGAAATTTAAAAATAACTTCCAGAAGTTGTATGGTTATCTTTATATGATTATGATGATTATACACAACAAGTTGTGCTCTAAACATCATCCACTTCATCGAATAAACTAGGCTGATATAAAAGCTTCTTATGATTAATAAAATATACAACTGGATGATATAAATGACTTTAAACAATACAGACTGAATTGTAGACTTTTTTTTTGGTAGACAAGAGTGGTCTAAACACTGGATAGTGTATCTGAACATATGAGTAGTGTTCCCTGAGAAAATCGATGATGATGAATGAGTAGTGTACCCGAATAAATTCACTTCAAGGAATTGGAATGCCTAGACATGACTATCGGACTATTTGGCAAACCTGCAAAACAGCCAATATTTTCAAGTTTATGCCAATAGCAAAATTTGCATTGAAGCATACAAAGTTCGTAACTAATATTCATCAAAGGCACACTTCATAAGAAGACTTACAATCTTACCATTGTGATAATTTTTGTTGAAGAGTTTAAAAACTACTCTGTTACGGGAGACATCAGTACCGTTAGTACAGTTTTCAATATGTAAATCATTCATTTACAGTGCAGTGGTTTCTGGTGTAATTTATTCAAGTAAAAATCAAATTTTTTCAGTTTGTTTGTTAGTTGTATTCAACGGAAATCGATTGAAACGGTATTAAAATCATGTGAGAAATTCGCATTTTTTTTATTTATTGATAGATAGCATCATATTTCGGCCATTCATTCATTACCTTTCAGTTATTCAATATTTTTGATTTCGATAAATATCAGTTAAACAGCGTAATGAGAAGACGAAGATTATCTGAAACATGTGATGTAATAGCGTTATACATTTCGAACAATCTAATCACATATGGATCATAAATGTATAGCGTTAATACATCATATATTTCAGATATTCTTCGTCTTCTCATTATGCTGTTTAAATTTATCAAATGGACCAGTTGCTTTAAATATTAGTTAACTGTAATTGTTCTATGGTTTTTATTTTGCTCTGCAATCGGTTGACTGTAATGCACAAAATATAAAACATTATATGATAGTAATAATATAAAATGAATACACTTCATCCTTAGAGTATGTAATGATGGTTCGACTACAATTTGTTTGATAGTTATTGTCGATATTGACGATAAAAGGGTGGACAACAGTTCTAATTACTTTATTGAAGCCCAGCTGAATGAATCATTACCTCTGTTGTGATGACAAAGTCTAGTAGACAGAAACAGATAAGCAATACAACAGGATTTACCAGCATTTCCATCTAGTGTCACACTGTACATCGATATTGTGGTCAAAGATATCAAAAGGAAAAACTAAGGGTTTAAAATAATAAGAATAACAATAGTAAAGAACAATCTAGGGCCAAAATCAATAATAAGAGATCCAATATAGAAGTATCCAGGGTCCAAAGCAAACTAAAAGACGAAATCACCTAAACAATAACCTCCTTTAAGTGTTATTTACTGAATGACGTTCCTAGCAGAATTTATTGCGCATATTCGAATCATATCAATTTTATATGGATTTATGCTTTACTACATCACTAATTGTAGCTTTTTTTGTTTATCCCCACCCTGGAAGTATACAACAACATGTGTTAAACAATCAGTCACTGTCTACCCTGACTCTATGTTGATTCACATGTGATAAGGCCGGAATACAATTTGTAATGGTTAGATCAATCCAGTCTTCAGCCACATATCTTGAGTTGAATTTATTACTTTACTCTATGGTTGAGAAAGTTTTATGATGGTGGTAATGCGTGTGTAGCAGTTGTATGAAACTACTGAAGGCTATACATTTTTGAACTTGCGCGTGCATGAAAGTCTATGGTAAACTGTTATAAAGTAGCAGATGTTGCTGTCCATTTTCTAGTTGAATATCTGAATTTATTGCCTGCTTCCTCTTACACCCTAAGAATAACCCCCTACACTCAAATTGACTTAAGCTAGGCAAACGACGTAGTATTTTGCGAAATAGGGCTACAAGATGCTAAGTTTTCTGAATGTTTGGAACGAAAATGAAGAATACTTTGAGTTTATCCAGTCGTTTCTCTAAATATGGTCTACATCGATTCCTATTTTATAAGTAAACTGGTTTTACACTTCGGTCAGGTCACTTATATCGAGTTATGTAAGCTCAAGTAGGTTGGTACCAAGTCAAGCCTCATCAGTGATACTGAAGGTTGGATTGAATTTTTTTTTCTCTGGAATTCATAGCGCACAGCAAAACAGTTCTCTCCGGTTTCTGTTGTTGTGAAACGATCCTCTAAAAAAGTAGTGTCTGAGTCGTAGAGGTTTCGGTTGCTGTATGCAGCGGAACCGCTGAATAAGTAATGTTACGGTGGGGCTTAGTGTTATTTAAATATTTTCGTTTTGTGAATTTCCTTATGTTGTACTGCTTGAGGAACTCGGGGGTATATACAAATGTATTCTATGTTTCTAATTGTGATGCTTATCTGTCCGTGACTCAGTTTGAAGTAACAGACTATATCGTTCTGAACTGATTTCAATATTGAAAAAGTAGGTATGCATCAACTTTTCTCAGTATTCTGAAACCAGAAGTTTATCTCTTTTCTTCCCTTTTTCTACTCACTGTTACCGACTCTTCATTTATTTTAATTTCATTATCTGTGTTGTCGTGATGTAGTACATCTTGGACCTACACATATTTGCTGGTGATTCTGGAGTATTTCCTCTGAATCTATTCGTAATTAGACTATTCTGTAGAAAAATTTCCGGGGTTTGACAACTGAATTAAAAATATATTAGCAAGAAATCAGAAAAGTGACTGTAGTAAGCATTTCTAGTGAGATATTGTTTAAACCACTAAATCCAATTGGAATATTGCATTCCGTGTTTTGTGCTGGAGTTTCGCATAAGTACTTACATGTCGTTTGTTCCATTATTTCTTTGTGTTGATTTGTATTTATGGCGAAAACTCTATACATTATCGGCACTAAAGATACACCATGATTGTTTCTGATATTGATGAGATCAGCAAAACAAAACCACCATTCATTTTCTTAAAATTGACTTTTGTATAGTCAGTAGTTGATTTCTCAATAATCAGATGACCAAGTCTTTCTGAAATGTAAGCATCTCATACAGATGATAGGCATATAAGGCACTACGTAAGTCTATCCATCAAGAATTATGCTGATGGTTAGAAAAATAGTTGCTATTATTTAGTGTTCACCCAAGCAAATCAATAAAAAAACCAATAGTTTACATTACTTTTGAAACATTCCCATCAATTACAATGTGTAAAAAGTGCTGATTGACACTTTATCTCAAAAATAAAATAATTAGCGAAGAGGACTCTTTTCAACGAAATTATTCTCAAACTGTACATTCATATATATATATATATATATATATATATATATATATATATATATATATATAATGAGAGGTTGAAATAACATAAGTGGTGCTTATAATAATCATGCTGCCAGTTGATGATGTAATTTGGATGATAGCTAAACAAGGGGATACGTAAACTTTTTCAAATCGTCTGTGAAGTGCATATAGATTACAGGGGGGTGGGGGGGTGGGGGTGATAACGTGGTAGAGTTAATCAACAATCAAAGGACTAGCTAGTACGAATGAGACAAGTTAGTTGAAAATGTTTTGTTAAAAGTTGCAATTTGAAGGTATCCTGACCAACAATGAACTGGATGGTTTGAAAAAACTTGGGCACCGAGTTAGTATGATTCATTGTATAGGATGCATTTTTACTTGTGTAATCCCGGCGTAGTTTATTAGAACAAATAACAAAATACGTGTTTATTTTGTTATTTGTTCTAATATACTACGCCGGGATTACATAAGTAAAAATACATCCTATACAATGAAAAGTTGCAATTATTTTGAAGATCAGATGAAGTAACATCGGAAACCATTAAATGTAACAATAAAAATGGTAATGAGATTATAAGAGTTCAAACATACTGGGAAGTTGAAAATATAAAACAAACGAAACAAACCAAGCTCGAATTAAGTTGAGACCGAGATGGAGACAGGAGTGTACAAATTTCTTTTGCACACAAAGGTCAGGCTTCAGTTGATAAAAAGTCAAGGCCCCTTGTGTTTTTAGAAGTTGAAGGGGGAGGAAACGTGAGATATTTGAGCGAATTCCATAGATAACCTTAAAATCACTATTTGGGTGGGTTGAATGGTTGTAGTTGATTAAGTATTCAGAGATAGAACTTCTAATGCATTTCCTTCGACCCATGTGAA